ATTAATAACTTATTTTTTAAAATTATTTATTATTTATCTATATAATAACAAAAATAAATAATTATAAAATTAAGCACTAACTTTAGGATTTTTTTAGAACACAATAATTTTATAAAAAATAAAATAATAAAATAATAAAATTTAATTTTCAATCAATCCAATATCTAATAAAAGACATTTAATATTAAAAAAATAAAAGATATTTAATATTAAAAAAATAAAAGATATAAATGCAATAGTTCATCATTCCACAATAAAATGATGTGTGAAAAAGAAAGGCAAATATCAAATAGAGGAGAGATGCCTGCTTAACCAGCTTTGGAGTTTGTAAAATCCATAAAAAAACATATAATTGGGCCAAAAAAAGATGTGAGATCGACAAAAGTATATTTTTCACTTAAATCATGCGGGACTCTCTGGGTTCTCTTTCCATTAGGGCATTAACTTTTAATAAAAAGAACTGCACGAGATGGGAATCTGTCCCCCCATGCAACCAAAAAGAACCTCTAATTTTGAACCCCAGTTGCTTTGTATTGGAGTTGGACTGGGTCTTCGCTTCTCGAACCATTCAAAACCGAACCAGGGGGAGGGAAAAAGCAAGAGAAAGAGGGAAATTTATCAAGAATAATAGTAAACAAAGTGAAAGAAAAAGCAGTGCAGAGAGATGGCTCCCTTTCCTTGTTTTGTAATCGACATAAAGATAACTACAACATCTTACTCAAGTGTTTAAAACCAGGCATCTTTTTGGTAAAAATGTTCTTAGAATTTGTGTCCGATCTTTAGATTCGTTGGTGAAGAACTTGTGTGGGATCTTTAGATTCGTTGGTGAAGAACTTGGGATTTGGTGTCTGTGCTCCGTGTTCCTAACAATGGGAGTAGAGGGCTTGTTTATCTCTTCCTTAGGCACCGCAGGACATGCCTTCACACTCTTCAACTTAGCATACGTTGACAAATGCCTGTTTCCATGGTGAGATTAGTGGGAAATATTGGCGAGATAAACCCTACTGTTTGCATCTTGATAAGCCTGCAATTATTGCTCGCCGATACACGTAACAGTGGCACCATTTAAGGAAAAAATGTTTTGAGAAAAGAGCAACTTTAGATAATGGGTAACGCTTTAGTTGGGGAACACGAAGCAACTTTGAAAGGAGAAATCCAATCCAACAAAAAGCTAAATTAGCTGACTAGTAAGCAGTATATAATTCATGTTACAGTCCAAGTAATCATCTACGGAGACTAGAAAACTTTCTTGGACAGTGTTCCATTCTTTTCATGTAAAATGAAATAAAAAAACCTATCCATGATCCCTTGTTGCTTTTAAAAGAAAGGGGAAAAAATAAATTGTTGAACAGGTAACACGCATATGTTTCAAAAGCTCAATCTTCTTTTCTCAAAGTTGGTGTACGAACGGTTCCAGATATTTGAGATGATATGGTCTCCCTCCTAGTCTGTTCCAATCGTCCGGCAGAATGCACAAGATTCATGATATAGAGGATGCTCGTTTGAACAAAATCATGGGATAGTCTCCAAATTCTATAGCACTAATAATTACGGTAATCACTCAACAAACTCCAAATATATAAACTGCAGGAAATCCAAGCATAACATATCTGTGCACTCACAGCCCCTAGCAATGACAATTTTTTAGTTGAATACAAGAGTGATTTTTCCACTGAAATCTAGTAGCACTCCATGCAGCCCTAAAACTCAATGGATGTGATTCTTCCTCGCAAGTTTAAAGGTTCTTGGTCGCTTCAAACTTAGGATTGACCAGGTGGTTGTCTAGACTGGACTGTTTTCCTGAATAACATGGTTTAAGTAGAGGAAATATCAATTATAATAGAATACAGAGGCAAACCTGCATTATGATAATATATACATACAAAATATGTTCAGATCGATGTGTAGAAAATGGAATTTACTGTGAACTGGTTGTTACCAGCTAGTTCTATTCTATGTTGTGTTATTACTTTGTAGAAGGATGAACTACTTCTTCATTCCCTTGATCAAATGCAATTCTCATTTATCAAAAAAAAAAAGCTATACAATATAATTCCAGCATCCCTCGGATTTTTCATGCAACAAATTATGTAGCACAAAACACATTAGAGCATTCAGCACCCAGAATTCCAAATCCTAAGAACACAGAATCACAATAACAAATTACAGTTTGAGATCACACCCATCTAAATGATGCTATCCATCTCCTTGTTGTATTAAACTGAAAATATGGGAGCTTATGGTGTTCAAATGGAGCAAAAAGTGGCTAAATGATTTTTTGTTTGAGATTCTAAAAGAAGCTATTTGTGTTTCCTCCACGCATCTAAAGTGATCCAGTTCTTCCCCCAAAGTCTTTGCTTGTTCCACATAAAAATAAGAGAAAGACTGATGTGTAAAGAAGCTTTAGTTAAAGGGTAAAACCACCATCAGACGTTTCCTAGATAACAAATACCAGTTTATGCCCCTTTCACCGCATTCACAAATCAAATTATATTAAAAAAAAAAAACGATCGATTTTTAACTTTACTCTTACCAACAAACCTCACCTAGAAGAAACTGTACAGATAATGTCTAGTGTACTCTAGCATCTGCCTTGTTTGTTCTCATGCTACAACATAATACCATTATAATGACTGGATGTGCAATCATCATCAGTCAATTGAGCTTATATTCATGCAAGTTCGATTCGTCACAAGCTGACTCTAGCAAAAATTTATCTAAAAACATTGAGTAGAGATGTATGTACCTGTTGTGAATAGGATCAGGTCCATTGGGCACTCTTCTCTTGCTCACATAATTGAGATCCATGTCATGACGAATAAGATGACTCTCTCTTCCAGATAGCTTCAGATGCTGGAAAGTCCCGGCTTCTGGAACTCTAATCCTTGCCATTAGTGTCGTTGCACGGTTTGGTAGGATTCCAACATACAAGAACCAGATCACCCCCCAAAATATAACAGCTCCTAATAGCGCCCTCGAAATCCTACCACCCCTCCCCATGTTTTATCCTCTCTGCTCCCTCTACTTTTCAATAAAGAATAATAGCTGGCCATTCAAAATGGAGATGTGAGAAGAAATCAGGACAAACATGTTGTTATCTTGAGGAGCAATGTGCACATGGAGCTCTTCTCTTAGACAGGTAGGCTGAAGAGTGAAGGAGGCCAAGCAGGGCAATTTGACAAGTTCTTTGGTAGAATGCTAGCTTGGCGGGTAAGAAGTGATTGGTTCTATTTAAAGGTGGAGAATCTGTAAGCAATGCTGGGGTGGGGAGTGTGTGCTACTGTGTGTATGGGAGTGCAAAATAATAAAACAAAGAGTTGGTTAACCTTGGTGCTTTATATAGAATGAGACCATGCGAGCTCTGTTATATTTTCTTTGATTTGTGCGTTTCCATGCAGCGAAAAAGGGGACCTCACTGCTTTCCCTAGCTCTTACGTTTTTATTACCATAAAATTTGAAATAGGACCTCAGGTCCCTTATAGATCCACAACGAGGATGAGAAAATTACCATCACTGGTTACCATCCCACCACTTAAATTGCTTGATCGAACGGTTAGAGTGCGTCCCTCTCTCAAGATGAAAAACTAACACATGAAGTGGCTCAAACAAATCCCACATAAAGGAAAGGAAAAGGCGTCTAATTAGGTGCATAGAAGCTAAAAAAGAAGGAAAAAAGAAGCAGAGAGAGGGAGAGTAAAAAGGAAAAAGGCAGAAGCAAATTACTGCTTTCACCAGGACTTTGGCATTCCTATCATACAGGTAAAGACAGAACTCTCTCCAGACTTTCACCCGAAAGCTGAGCTTGCTCTTATAAAGTCCTTCCGCCTTAAACTGACTAGCATTTCTTCTTAGTTACCACAGAGTGCCAACAACATGAAAAACAATTATCCGACACTGATTATTAATCAACAAGACCAATGTACTTGACAAGGGAGCAACTAATATGTAAAAATACTTGTCTGCCTGCCTGCCTTGAGGATATACACCCAGGCGATGGTCATTGATGGCTAAGAGACTGAGTCATAACTAGTCTTACTGAATCGACCCATTTGGTGGATACAATCCCAAGTGATGCCACTATAACTATTATTTCCCAGAAGAGTAGTCTCATGATCATCTTCGAGAATCCGATTGCCAAAAAAGGTAACAACTCTCATTTCAACAGCTGGCTGGTATATTAAACTCGAGTGATTTGAGTTTTTCTTTTCATCACTAAGTTTCTGTATCACGACAAAAGAATTATGGTATGAAAAAAGACCAGGAAACATACCCCACCTCATGATATTAAATAAAAGAGAGAGAGAGAGACTGATGCCAAATGGTTCCTTGGATGGCAACACTGGTTGGGCAGCTGCTGCAGTACCTGGCCAGAGTATCAACTAGGATGCTTTTGCCACCCATGCTAAAACGCGTTGTGATCCCTTCAGACTGCAATGCCAAACATGCACTACTGCAATGAAGAGAACCACAACGCAAAGTGTGTGACTGCAGCTATGAATACTTTGGCCAACCACACCTATGGAGCATTGTGGTCTGTGGTCTCTTGAACTGCATTGTCAAGCATGTCTGCATCAACAAGAAGCAGAACTATGGAGTCAAAAAATCAAGCGTGAAAAACTCAAAGTAATCTACTATTCTTCTCTCCTTATAAACTAATCATTAAATAAGGTGGTTGCATTCTCCCCTCCAACCAGCACCTTCTAAAGATAAAGCTATACATGCAAACATTTTCTAGAAAGAGTAGCTAAGCAATCTATATTGTAACCCAGACTAAGTGTATGCTCCTACCCAAGAACTTTCAACTTCGCAAGTACCACCATCTCATCCAATTTGCCTTGTTTTCTCTCCTATAAGTTCCTCTGCTTAATATTTCAGAAGACTATTAGCAACAAGGAGCTTAGCAGGTCCACGAAAATGCGAAGTGCTTACAATTCGATAATGTAATGCTCTTATAGCAAAGCAGGGTTTAGCTGGTTTTAGTTCAAAAGGAACACCCTTTAAAAAGAAAATGACGTCTTTGAACCAAGAGTATGGTACCACCTGCTTTCGCCATTATTTTCTTAAGTAATAATACAATTTTATCAAGCACTACAGTAAGCTACTAAACATTACACAACAGCGATGACACAACACTTTGATACCATACAGGCACATAAAACCATGGGATGAAATGAAGATATTCAAAACTATCAACTCTATGATAAATATAGATTCTATTTTATAATGTAAGTTTCTTCCGAATCTAGCATTTACAAGCTCTATCTTGTTTAGGACTTTGTTCTATTTCAGAATTTGATTAAAGGGCTTCCCTAAGAGTCCAGTGCTTATGACAGGGACACTTCTTTACTGTGACATGATGGTCATGGAATGAAAATTGACATTTGAGATTACTTATCATATCTACTGTGTTATATGATCCCCGCCCACCCACACCCCCCACACCCCCCCTAAAACATCTAAAGTATGCATCAGAACACAGAGGCTCCCTTGGAAATCTGCCAAATAATCTCTGATCCTTCCTAATACATCAAAAACTTCCTATCAGAGCAGAGGTTCCCCTTCAAGCAGCTCAGTATCCTCAAGTCACTGAGGGAATCTGAAATTTCAGGATCTTTATCTTAGAAGTCTGAAAAAATTCTCTCTGAATTAAAATCAATATGTGGAGATACTATATCTTTAACTATTAGTATAGCATTGAAGAACTGAGACAGTTTATAACTTAAATAACACAAAAGGAAGTGGGGATACATGACAAAGTTGATGTCTAAGACCAAGGCAAGCATAAATCACGATATACATCCTGAACAGTATGTCTGATTGCTCGATGCATAAAAATAAATCAAGGGCAGGTTCAAGCATATTGCACTAAGAAGCACAATTTATTGGACTTCCAAACTAAAACAGAGTAGTAATGCAATATAAGTTCAAAGCATGAATCTAGAGATACGCATTCTTAACAGTATGCCTGATTTGGACTCTTATGGCATCAAAAGGATAAAATACAGGAGGGTACATATTTCCTTGACGCTAAAATTGGCAAGAAAAAGCAAACATTATGTAGTCAACGATTTCTAATATCTGTATTTGACTTCAACAACTAAAATAAGATCTGTTTATCAAATACAGAATTGGTTTATGAAGTCCTTACAATCATGAAATAGCAGCATGACAGAAGAAGGCTCTCTCTCAATATTATCAAGCTCAATAAGCAGCCAAGGAAATACCAAGAAACCATGAAGACATGAGCCTGTGAAATAAAATCCAACTTCTAATTTTAAATGGGAAAAGAAGACAATTGAATGAATTAAAAGCTAGCCATAACAAATTTGTAGTTTCCTAAAAACAGATATTTTACCATAAAGATCAACCAAGGCAGGTTTCAAATTATCTGAACATAACATGAATGATACAACATATATTTTACTAGTCAACATTAGGCTCCGTTTGTTTACTGAAAAGTAATTTAAAAAAAAAATTCAAAAAAATAAATTATTTGTTGATATTTGGTAGTATAATGAAAAATAAGTTGGAAAACACTTTCCAGTGTTTAGTTATATCATAGAAAATAAGATGAAAAATAACTTATTAATGTTTTATTTTTCTCAAATTTATTAAAATAATGAGAAACAAATCTTACAAATTAAAAGAATGAATGAGAATGAAATTGAAAAAAAAATATAATTTTATAGATTATCTCAAATAAAATAAATAATAATCAAAATAATAGAGATCAAATCTAAAAAATAAAAAAAAATAAAAGATGAAGAAATTAAAATAATAATAATTAACATTTCATAAATTATTTCAAATAGAATAAGTAACAATCAAAAGAATGAGGACCAAATTTGATAGATAAAAAATTTCAATAAAAAAATGATAGGGGCAAAGCAAATAACAATTGTAAAAATGAGGACCAAAGTTAATATAAAAATTAAATTTTAAGAAATAAAATTGAAAAATAAATATTCAAAACAAACTATATATAGCAATCAAAAGTTTCAGGACTAAATTTGATATAATCAGCAAATAATATGATATTTTTAAATTTTTCACAACTTTCATAAAGTGTTTTCTGCCAAAATTTTCTAGGAAAATACTTCCCTGAAAACCAAGCCAAATTTTCCTTTGATTGGAAAGTATTTTTCATTGACCAACTTTTTTAATGGCAAACAAATACAGGAAAGTTTGGAAAGTAATTTCCCAGAAAGTGAATTTCGAGAAACAAACATAGCCTAAGAGATGATTCATGAAGAAAAAGCTTTATAAGCTCACATCTCGCTCTCCACTTTCGACTTGTAAACTTCTAGTATAAGTTCTACCACCGATATGCTATTATTTCTTTCTCTTCTTCTGAGCCCAGTCAGGTCCATAAATTGTCAAATGAGTTCGACCAAAATGCCGATCATTTATTTGCAATTTCATACATATTCACTTTAGCTGATGTATTAGAAACAAAATTATTTGTCACCGTGTTGACCAACAGTAAATAATTTATGGATAAGAAATTATATATTAATGTGTTAGATAATAATATAAGTTATATCTTATGATTTTATTTAACAGTTTAAACTATTGTGTTGAGATGATTCTTTGGCATGGTATTAGAGCCTTGATGACCAAGCGGTCACGAGTTCAAATCCCATCATCCTCATTTATTTGATAAAAAAAATAAACACAAGATAGTGGGGTTCTATGCAAGTTTTAAGTTCAAAAGGCATTCACTTGTTGGGGTATGTTGGAGAATAATATAAATCATATATTGGGACTTCACCTAACAGTTTAAACTATTAGGTTGAGATGGTTCCTTGATATATTGAAAATTAACAAATTAGATGTTTTAGCATGTATGAACAACTTCACTATACAAGATTTTCTATAGATCGATATTGTGCTAGTAACCAAGCTAGTTGGCCTTAATGTGCTAAACATAATATCATCTCAAAGATTTCACAATGATTTGTGGTGTAGATAATGGTTTATGGTAACAAAAAAATGGTGCAAACTGGAGTACTTTAAACTTGATAAATGGGGGGAAGGGGGTTATACTAGGAAAATTCTTGATGTTAAGAAAAACTATGTAAGAATTTTGTCAATAAGAACATCAACAAGTTAAATAATTAACAAAATTTAGCAGTTACAATAAATATGTCTTATCCAACCATGTGTATTTTTGAAATTTGATCTATCAATATTCCATAATCAAATCATGTATATGGAGACATGAAACTAATGAAATTACAAACAATGTAACTTGATTAGCAAGAATATTCAAGAGAAATGATTTCTTATTATGTATACATTTATAGACACTTTTCAACTTCTAATAACAGATGGATCATCTTTAGCTGAGGAAAAGAGGTGACTAGTTGCTTCTAGCAAAGCTGCATGTTCATGAGCAAAGTGCCTGAAAGAATGGCCACCACATTTTCTTTCATTCTTCTATCCCTTGAAAACCCTTTGGGCTATGACACTTTATAAACACTACAGAAAGTAAGGATCTTCTTACATACAAGCCTATGAACCTAAATTA